CTGTGCCTGTGAAGGAGATTCTAGACGACTCTGGAACTGAAAAAGGACACTGACAAAAAGGGATACCCCTCACCCATACATATGACCATCAAGTTGAGTGCTGGCAGAACAGAAGGAAAGGAAGGGGACAGGCAAGTTACTGTCTTTTCTCAGCTGGACAGCCAGGCATCTCTTCTGCCTTCCAGCAGGGCATTTCTACTTTGTGAACCTTCAGACTCCAGTGTCCCACCCCTTCTCAGACTCCAGACTGAATCACTGCACTGGCTTTTCCTGCTTCTCACTTTGCCGATGGCAACTACTGAGGCTTCTTCGCTTTCCCAATCACGGAAGCCTCTTCCTACAAGTCTCCTCTTATTTATCTACTGATAGTCCATCGGTTCTGCTTTCCTGGAGAACACTGGCTAATACAATATTGATTTGCCAGGCAAGGATAAAAAGGATCATGGAAGGACGATGAAAGGAATGTGCTAGAAACGTAAATTGCAGCCGATGACAATGTACTCATGTTCTATCACAGCCAGTCATACATATTTCCTTTTGATGTTCCTCATGTTTATTCACTTAAATTAATCTGGAACTTACTTTTCTCCTTCCTTCTCCCCATTACATATATAAGAATTGTAGCCGGGGGTTGATGATCTTTATTCTCAGGAAATTTAGGGAGGGTATAAGTAAAAAAAAAAAAATGAAAGGAAAATTAATGTCTAGAGATGGAAACTATGACTGATGAGAATATGTCATTTCTTGTTTATTTTATTTGTTGTGTGTACACATATAGTATGTGTGCACGCATGTGTGTTCCCGTACATGAGTGTAGGTACGTGGTTACGAATGCATATTGAGGTCAGGTTGACATGGAGTGTCTCCCTTGATGATCTCTGCTTCATTTACCAAGGCAGTTAGCTCTCTTGCTGTGCCGGATGTCTCTGATTTGATTTGCTAGTGTAGCTCGAACAGTTTGCCCAGGATTCTCCTTTTGAATCCTCCTTTTGCCTCCCAGGAGGATTACAGGGAGGCTAACATAACAGCCTGGCTTTTGAGCATTTTTATGGATTCTGGGATCAAAACCCCAGTCTTCAGGCTTGCAAAGGTTTTATCCTCTGATCCATCTCTCCAGCCCCATGTCACTAATTGTAAGAGAATGACAGCCTCTTCCTCATTCAAGATATGTTTGATTCATATCTTGGCAGTTTAAATAGATGGTAGACAAGAAGAATGAATGCTGAATAAAGGGTGGGATTTGTCTGTTGGCCCACGTGATGGCTGCTCTTGGTTGCCGACTTTGCTACATCTGGAAATAATTAAAACCCAAGCTGTTGGGTCTACCTGTGAGGGATTTTCTTTTCTTTTCTTTTTTCAAAACAGGGTTTCTCTGTGTAGCTTTGGAGTCTATCCTGGAACTCACTCTGGAGACCAGGCTGGCCTGGTGGAACTCACAGAGATCCACTGCCTCTGCCTCCCGAGTGCTGGGATTAAAGGTGTGCGGCACCAACACCCATGTTTATTCATGAGGGATTTTCTTGACTGGCTCATTCCAGGTGGGAAGACCCATCCTAAATCTGGACAACTTGAGGTTAGAAGACACCCCTTTTTAAATCTGGGCCACACCTTTTGTTGGCAGACCATACAAAGGACATGGAAGAAGGATGTAGGCGGCAAATTCTGTTCTGCCTGGTCCTGCAGCCAATTAGCCCCAAATAAACCCACAAAGACTTATATTAATTTATAAATTGTTTGGTCAATGGCTAGGGCTTCTTACTGGTTAGCTCTCTTTTAATTATTAACCCATTTATATTAATCTAAGTATTTCCAAGAGGTCTTATATTGTCAGAGAAGGGTCTGGACCTGTTACTCCTTCCTCTGCTACATGGTGTCTCTTTGCTGCCTCTCTGCCTTCCTCTCCCCAGCCTTCTCTTGTCTGGTAGACACACCTATGCTTCCTGCCTAGCTAGCCAGTGTTTTATTCATAAACCAATAAGAGAAACATATATACAGAAGGACAGCCCCCATCAGAAGGAAGCACTTGTTCCTTGTCCACTTGCTCTCCCTCTCACTGGCAAGATCATTTAGTCACTAGCATTAGCGTCTCCTTCTGGATTCCAGACTATACACATAAATGTCAGTCAATGACTTGATTCATATGATTTTAGAGCCAGTGTGAAATGTGGTGACTAAAGAAACACTATTTTATGCTAAGCATCCATCTTGGTCCCCACTAGCTGTTTATCTCTGACTCCAAGCCTGGAAGATAAGTTCCCAGTAAGCTGACTCAGTGACCCACACCCAGAAATGTACCGCTGTGACATCTATTTGTTATGATATGACTAACTGCTTTTCTGGCTTCTGTAACTTGCTTCTGCGGATGCCAAAGTATTATTTTGGGTCACTTTGACCACTTAACTTGGCAGAACAGAGCAGGTTTTGCTTGCTTGTGTAGACATTGAAGGTCTTCTTGTGGCTTTTGCCTTTTACAATTCCCTTCCCCATGTTCCTCCTTCACAACATGCCTGAGACCCAGCTTTAGGCTGTCATCCTGCTAGCAGCTAATCAATAGATCCTGTAATTATGACTGAATTAGTCTATGGTCTTTTCCCAGGGTCAGTGCATGACACCACAATTCCAATTATTCCTGTTACTGTTTTCTTTTATAGTTTAGAGAAGAATTCTATTTCCTCCACGAACCTGTCAGCCAACTTATCTTTGAGAACATGGAGGGGGCCGGGCAGTGGTGGCTGTGGTGTACGCTTCTAATCCCAGCACTCGGGAAGTGGAGGCAGGTGGATTTCTGTGAGTTCGAGGCCATCCTGGTCTATAGAGTGAGCTCCAGCACAGCCAGGGCTACATAGAGAAACCCTCTCTTGAAAAACAAGTAAGCAAACAAACAAACAAACAAAAAAGAAAAAACAAAGAACATGGAGGGGAAGGAGATGCCTTCTCTTTTTCTACTTCAAAATGATCCCTAACAGTAGCAGTATTAAAAATAAAACAGTCAATTCTTGCCTCCTCCTCAGAAGAAATATTTGGAAGCATCAGCAGCAGGTTTGCAGCAACAAAGCAGTCCCCAGATCTTAGTTCTGCATTTTTCTCTTTTATCCCTAAAAGTGAAAATGGCTCCTGGAGTCAATCCCAGGGCAAGTTCATACTTCCTGTCTGAAATACTGAGAAGGTGTTCTGTTTCCTTCAAAGGCCAACCACTTATACAGACAAATGCAAACCTCAACTCAGGCAAAGGGAAATTTAGAACAGGAGGGAGAGGAAAGGTATAATGGATCCTCAATGAGCCCTTTTAGCCGAGAGACAATGAATGATATTATTTAGTTCATTCAGATCATTATTGACACCAGAATGATAGTGCTAGGATGTGAGGCAAGGAGAAAGATGGGGTGGTGCCAGTGAGGTCTTCTAAAACACAGTGATTACTTTTTATTAGGGAAGTGCATTTTAATCGCCTATATATGCCATGAGTAAACACATAAATTATTTTTCCTGTCTTCAAAGTGCTAGACAAACGTGTAATGAAAATGCCAGCGATTGCTGTGCCTCGTGTCTCAATCGACAGCCTTAGCACTGTCAGCAGGGAGTTACTATAAACAGGCATATTGGCTTCATACCCAGTCCCTGCTGCAATCTCACATTTTTCTGAAGGGTGTATAAAATGGAAATTGTAAAAGGTCAGAGATTAATATTTACTCTAGGCTGAAGTTAGCGCAGCTCTTTTTAAAAGTCTTAAGTCAGAATCATGAAGGAGAAATATGACAAGATTCTGTGTCTGATAGACTGGCAGTCGCACTGTAATTAGCTGTCCACTTTCAGAATGACATGCAATTATCATCAGTACCAGGATAATCAAGAGATGGATTTATTGATTCCCTGCTTTGACACGCTATTTGGAACTGGTTCCACTTACATGGCATTTATGAATTTCACCCCCCCCCCAGCCCAATTCCTTTCCTGAGGACATCTTTCCCTTGATGGTGCAGTAGGGATAGTGGATATTTCCCTTCTACATTATACTGTTACAAAACGGCAGTGTCACAAAGTAACACTGGTATGTTAATTTGCTATAGAAACAGCATAATTTTGGGTTGTTACACCCTCTAAAACTAGAAAACATTTATCTTTTAGCTAGGAAGAGTTTTGATCATACTTACATCCTGTGTAACTTATGTCCACAAAATGGTTTCTCCAGACAGGACTCCTTAGAACTGGTTACTTTCCCCTGGAGTTCAGCCTGCATTTTCCTTTATAGTTAATGTCCATCAGCCATGTTCCCCCACACACACCACTACTTGCAGCACAGAAGCATAGTTGAACCTCCCAGCTTTTCTGCACTGTTATAAACTTTATTTCCCACTGATAACTTCAGCCCAGAGTCTACTAAATCCCGAAAGTTAAAAATTTTATGTCACCTGGGAATGGATAGCAGAGAACAAGTCTGAGGAATGGGTACTCTATGTTGGAAAATGCTTCTCCCCGAAGATCTTTTTACTTAGCTGTAAGTAACCCTTTGGAGTGTGGATCTGCAAGCACAATTCTAAATAATATGTATTGAAGGGTGCTATCAAAATCAACTACCACTTAGTCACAAAAATCCAAACCCTAGCCCCCTAACTCATTCCGAGTGAGAGGCAATTGCTGAGGAGATATTTATGCAGGGAACCCTTCCTGCTTGGGAATTAGAGAGGCTGGGGAGGCAGGTAGTGTCAGGGGGAGGAGAAACAGGGGAGATGGGGGCTGCTCTGTAGAACCCACAATTGAGCTAGGTGTTCAAAAGGGGCTTCTGGGAGCAACAGGAAGAAAACTTACCCCGAAAGGCACAGAACACTGTCTAATAAGAGACCATCCAGACTCTTGTGATCAGTTCTTTCCCCAGGACCCAAAATGACTTGATCAAAATGTTGCACATTCTACTGAGGATGTAGCAGGTCTTGGAGTTAGGAAAACAACAACAAAATACTGTAATTTTTAAATGTAATTTTTATAACAATTGGATTAGCATGGGAAACTCTCCTAAGAGTTTAGATACAGAGATGCAGGCTTTGGACCAGAATTCACTCTCCCCACAGAACGTGCCTGACCAAGACTGAACTCGACTCCCTTCCAGACAGGCAGGTTAACCAGTGATAAACAAAAGACTAGGAACTGCCAATCACAGTGAAAAGACAGTTCTTTGAAAAGGCATCCATTAATGTTTACGAATTAGACATTTCCTACAACATTTCTAGCACTTCCTATGACCAAGGGAAGCCAACGAAATCCAAAGGGCTGACCCTAGTAGAAAGATGGGCACTGATAGTTTTTTGTTTGTTTGTTTGTTTGTTTGTTTTTCCGTAGTAATGGGAGCACCATGGGATGCCACAAAGTCACATCATGCAACAGACCTCATGTAAGAGATTTATTGGTGGGGGGGTACAAAAGGCTATCTCTCAGTGAGGGTGGAAAAGGAAGACACAGGCTATGAAGACTAGGGCTTTATAAAGGATATGGAGCGTGTGCATTGGGAGAACTGACAGTGGAAAAGTGTTGCATTTGGGGCTATAACGACACGGCCATTGGCATTGGGTCCCTGAAGGCGGGTTGGAGGGATGTGTGCCTGGTTCTGGGATGTGGGTGGTTCTTGGCTTAGCAACACTGAGGTCTCAATGGGCTGGTGATAGAGAGACTTGAGGATCCTGTCACTCTTTGCTTGGCTCTGATTGTCAGAACCCAGCGTTGTGGATAACTCGGAATGGTTCTAATTTAGCTTGGGCTTGACTGAGAGGCAGTCACCCTGTTGTGGGATAATCTTTTTGTACACTGTGAAGATGTGTCTTTGCCAAGATATCTTCTGATTGATTTAGTAAAAGAACTGACCAGCAGGTAGCTAGGCAGGCCATATAGTAGGGAAAACTACACCCAAAGGATGATGGGAAGAAGAAGGGAGTCTTGAGCAGACACAAAGAGAAGCAAGATGAATGTGTCATGTTGAAAGAAGGTAACCCCACATGACAGAGGGTAGATAAGAAATAGGGGTTAATTTAAAATGTGAGAGTTAGCTAATAACAAGCCTGAGTTATTGTCATAATCAATATTAAGTCTCTGTGTGGTTATTTGGGAGTGGCTGGCAGAACAGAAAAGTCCACCTACATCACCCTGATAACATATTTCTTTAAGTCATTAAGCTTGGGGGAATGGAAAGGAAGGAACAGAACTGCCTGGCTGCTTATCTATAATACACAAATTCGCCGTCAGTAGCTCCCTTGGCCTTACTCATGGAACATGTATCCTTTCATGGTGACATTATTCAGCCTTCAGTGACATTTGCCTTTTTTTTCTTTATCTTCTGGTGAGTTCACTGCTTTTCGGATTGTTCATATTCACTGCAGTAGAGTCCAGAGGGGCACCTCTTTTCCATTGGTTTGCTCCCATAAGAATGGCCTGGGACTTCCCAAGAGGAGCCCAACGTAATCTCGGTAGGTCTTAAGTCCTGTGATGCTGCTTCAAGCCCTGGAGGCCAACATTCTTCACAAGAGTAACTGGGAACATTGCAAACAGCTTCACTTCTCTTGCTCCCTGTGTTTCTGTCCAAGCCCAGAAAGGTAACCTCAGACTGACTGCACTCGAAGGGGATTTTCTGAGGCACTCTCTCTGTCCTCAAAGCTTCTTTGTGAGGCACTGCATGATTATTCTGGTTTTCATCATCTTCTACTGGGATACTTGGGATATTGTCCAAGAAGAGAGGAGAAGGGCACCTGAAGGACTTCAGAGATGTGGGAGGGTCGTCCGCAAAATACAAGCTAGGCTGTGTGCTCTCCAGGGTGTTCAGGACCTGATTAGCAAAGGAAAAAACATGGAGGGAAGCTTGAGTGACACTCCATTTTACATTTTCCTCTCTACCTAGTAAAGAATATTCTCTCATTTTCATAATTAGGAAATTAAACAAGTAAAATAAAAAATAAAGCAAGTTCAAGCACAGAATTTTTAATTAGAAAGGATATTAGACAGTGGAGAAGCCCCCTTATTTCAAGGGCCACATCAAGTGACTTGATGGAAGGTATGAAAGAAACAACAGACTTCAGACACCTGACCCCAGCCATGAACCAGCCACCACCTCACTCTGTGCTGTCAGATGAGTCTGTGCATTTTTTCTCTTCTTTTTGTGGGGGGCGGAAGGAAAGGATTTATTTAGCTTATACTCCCACATCATCAAAGGAAGTCAAGACACGAACTCCGACAGGATAGAATCCTGGAGGCAGGAGCTGATGAAGAAGCCATGGAGGGGTGCTGCTTACTGGCTTGCTCCTCATGGCTTGCTCAGACTGCTTTCTTATGGAATCCAGGACCACTGGCCCAGGGTGGCACCATTCACAATGGGTTGAGCCATACCCCATCAATCACATTTTGTAGTATAGAGCTGAAGCTCAGAGTTAAAACAACAGTGGGAGAGAGAGGGTACAAAAAGCCCATGGTCCAATAACAAATGATGTGTGAATATTGACTGAGTAAGAAAATAGCAGAATTGGATATAAATAGTGTTCAAGATTACCCTATTGATAAATTTATATATAATCAATTAAGAGTTCTGAATCCCAAAGCAATCAGATGGGTGAACTGGCCCTTCTTAACGAGGGCTGTCTCCACTCCTCAATGCCTCTATGATTTGTTTTTTGTATTTGTTTTTGTTTTTGTTTTTGCTTTGGATTTTTTTAAATTACAAACAAGATTGAATTACATGACAATCCCAGTTCCCTTCTCCCTCCCTTCCTTCCCTACCATCCCCCCAACTAAAACTCTACCTATCCCATATCCTTTCTTCTAATCTACACTTGACTCAACCTTTTGGCTCCCTCATGACCTCTGCACCCTTCCTTTTCTTCCCTTCTCATTCTCATGCTTTCTGCCCCCTCTTCCCCTGCTCTCAATTTGCTCAGGGGATCCTGACCCTTTCCCCTTCTCCAGGGGACAAAGTTTGTCTCTTTTAGGGTCCTCCTTGTTTACTAGTTTCCCTGGCAGTGTGGACTGTAGGCTGGTAACCCCTTACTCTATGTCTAAAATCCACATATGAGTGAGTACATATCATGTTTGTCTTTTTTGTGATTGGGTTACCTCGCCTCAGAATGGTTTCTTTAAGTTCCATCCATTTTCTTGCAAATTTCAAGATTCCATTGTTTTTCTGCTGGAGATTTATACAATCTCCATTGTATAAATGGAGTATTACATTTTCTCTATCCATTCTTCGATTGAGAGGCACCAAGGCTGCTTTCAGTTTCTGGCTATTACAAATAGTGCTGCTATGAACATCGTTGAACAGATGTCTTTGTTGTATGAATGTGTTTCTTTTGGGTATATGCTTAAGAGTGGAATTGATGGATCTTGTGGTAGACTGATTCCCATTTTCTTGAGGAGATGCCATACTGATTTCCAAAGTGGCTGTACAAGTTGGCACTCCCACCAGCAGTGGAGAAGTGTTCCCCTTTCTCCACATCCTCTCCAGCATAAACTGTCGTTTGTGTTTTTGATTTTAGCCATTCTGATAGTAGTAAGATGGTATCTCAGAGTTGTTTTGATTTGCATTTCCCTGATGGCTCAGGATGTTGAACACTTTCTTATGTGTCTTTCAGCCATTTTAGATTCCTCTATAGAGAATTGTCTATTTAGTTCTGTACCCCATTTTTAAATTGGATTGTTTGGTGTTTTGGAGACTAGCTTCTTGAGTTCTTTGTATATTTTGGAGATCAGCCCTCAGTCAGATGTGGGGTTGGTGAATATCTTTTCCCAGTCTGTGGGCTGTCATTTTGTCTTGCTGACTGTCTCCTTTGTCTTACAGAAGCTTCTCAGTTTCAAGAGGTCCCATTTATCAATTGTTGATCTCAGTGTCTGTGCTACTGGTGTTATATTCAGGAAACAGTCTCCTGTACCAATCAATTTAAGAGTATTTCCCACTTTATCTTCAAATCAGTTCAGTGTGGCTGGGTTTATGTTGAGGTCTTTGATCCATTTTGAATTATGTTTTATGCAGGGCTAACGGCTTTGCTCTATCTGTAGTCTTCCACATGGTTGCATCCAGTTATGCCAGCACCATTTGTTGAAGATGTTCTCTTTGTTCCAGCGTATATATTTGGGTTGTTTGTCAAAAGTCAGGTGTTCGTAGGTGTGTGGGTTACTATCAGTGTTTTCAACTCTATTCCATTGGTCTACCTGTCTATTTTTGTGCCAATACCAAGCTGTTTTCAGGACTATAGCTCTGTAATAGAGCTTGAAGTCAGGGATGGTGATGCCTCCAGAAGTTCCTCTATTGTACAGGGTTGTTTTGGCTATCCTGGGTCTTTTGGTTCTCCATATAAAGTTGAGAATTGTTCTTTCAAGGTCAGTGAAGAATTGTGTTGGGATTTTGATGGTGATTGCATTGAATTTGTAGATTGCTTTTGGCAAGATTGCCATTTTTACTATGTTGATCCTACCTATCCAAGAACATGGGAGATCCGTCCATTTTCTGGTATTTTCTTTAATTTCTTTCTTTAAAGACTCAAAATTCTTATGATACAGGTCTTTCACTTTTTTGGTTAGTGTTACCCCAAGG